TTTCAGCAAATAAAACCACTCAAGCAGGGACGGGTTCACACGTGTTGCCACGCCATAAATACTCGAGACAACCCTCCTTGATATCTTTGGGAAAATACCACGAAAAATGTCACTATAGCGTGGCGTATAGACAGCCTGTGTAACGTACAGTTTTGAAGGCACGCCAGTCTGTGGATACTTTAGATCGTCCAGTAGCAAATTATTGAGGGCCTCCAGCAGCTTCCTCAACGAATTCTCATTTACCCATCGAGATACCATACATTTAGAGCGAATCCGCGCCGCGGGGTATGGCAACTCATCCTCTCCACTGCTCACCACAAGAAAGATGCGACGCCTGCGCGAGACCCTCCACAACATTTCCAACGGCATTGTGAGCGGCACATCGACGGGTATAAAGCGATCTGAAAGGCGTTCCAACTCCTTGAAGAACTTACCCTTCCCGTCACTGTCATCCGTGAGATATAGGTGTTGAAAATCAAGCACGATAAATTCATTCGCAGAAAGGGGGTCATTGAGAAACGCCTTCACATCTTCAAGCACATCAGCCAGAGGCACAGAGATTTGATGGTGTAATGTGTACAGTCGGCTGGCGTCCTCTGGGTTTGTCGCAACGCGCAGGTCCAGATAGCGCACACCGTAGTCCAGCTGCGCGCGTACAGACATCCATTGACACCTTGACCAAGATGCACAGATCCCACGAAAAAGTAAGCGTGACAGAGAAGCAAACACCGAGTCACCAAGAAGAAACCCCGGCGCGTCCGCACCAAATGGTGAATCCTTGCGAACGCCGTACGATGCCGCGTCGTGAGAGCCCACAAGACACACCTGTGTTATGGCCATTTCGCCAATAAACGAGCGCAGGTCATGCATCCAGCTCTGTGGATCCCACGCGGTATTTGTGAAGTCGTCACTCTCCGGCAGCATGTATAGCAGGAATCACGAGTGCTGGCGCCAAACATCCCACAAAGCAAAAAAAATGAAATGAAGGTAGACACACACAAAAATAGAAAAAGGAAGGACACACCATGGGCCATGAAAACAAAAACAAAAATTGATTCAGGCATACCACGCCAGGCAGCAGCCACATAAGAAACCACTCCACTCCTAACCGTTTTTCCCGTTTCTGTTTATCCTGCGTGTGTACTAAAAAAATAGATATAATAATATATATTGAGGTGGAATAACAATAACACCGTAACACAAGCCGGTCCCCTGACAGCAGTGGTTTGCCCAGCGATCATGCCCACAATGAGAAAGGGAAAAGCAAAGGGACTCAATAATAATAATAATAATAATAATAATAATAATAATAAATAATACCTCAAATAAAAACCACAATAAAAAACAAAAACAAACAAACGTCTTTTTTTCCCCCCTCCACCCACACCACTCCTCGTGAATTTGGAGCCCAAACTTCACTCCGACAAAGACGAGCGCTTAACGCTGAAGGCAAGTTTGCCCTGGCTGCTGTTCACCAACACCCTCACAGTGCTGTTCGGCGGAAGCTGCTGCGCAAGAATCATGCGGCTCACCTCGGTGGTGATGTATTTTTCAACCCAGCGGCGCAGCGGGCGGGCGCCCATTTCGGCATCAAAGGCTTTCTCCAGAACAAAATTTTTCGCCTCATCGGTCACTTCCAGCAAGATGTCCTGGGACTTCAGCCGTCCGTTCACCTCCGCAACAATAAGGTCAATGATTTCGTGAAGCTCCCCAAAGCCCAGCCTGCGAAAAAGTACAATGTCGTCAAGGCGGTTGAGAAATTCCGGGCGGAAGTAGCTGCGCACCACCTGCCAGACCTTCTCACGCGTCGCCTCCCATCCCTTTGGAGAATTCCCCACGTGGACAAGGTGCTCAGACCCGAGGTTGGACGTCATGACGACGATGGCATTGCTGAAATCAACGGTCCTTCCATGCGAGTCCGTCAGCCGGCCGTCGTCCAGCACTTGCAGCAACACATTGAACACAGATGGGTGTGCCTTTTCCACCTCGTCAAGCAGCACCACTGTGTGCGGGCGACGGCGCACGGGCTCCGTCAGCTGCCCGCCTTCCTCGTGACCCACGTAACCCGGTGGTGCCCCAATGAGGCGAGCGACGGCGTGCTGCTCCATGTACTCGCTCATGTCAATGCGCACCATATGCTTCTCGTCGTCAAAGAGCTCTGCCGCAACCGCCTTCGCAGCTCCGTTTG